TGGACAGCTGTGTGCCTCCCTGGGGCTTCTCAGCTGCTGCTGCCAGCTCATCAGGGCTCAGCCTCAGGGGGAGTGTGTGAGTAGGTGATTTCCCTCCTGTTTGACAGGTATGGAACCTGTGACATGCTCAACAGAGGTGGGACTTTGGTTCAAGTTTCTGTCTCCCAGGCCGGTATTGACGGTGCAGTTTAAAGACAATAATGTCATCAAAGATGACCATCCCTCTCCTAGAATAGCTTTTGTTGGGGTGTCCAGTAGATTCTGGTATTCCAGTCTTACGGACATGTTTCAGTTATACATTTTTACCTTTGACCCAAGAGAGGAAGACCCTACCAACACACCCAGTCAGAAAGAGCCAGACCCCCACACGGCACACCTAGAACCCACACATCTAGAACCCACACATTGCACCTAGAACCCACACGGCACACCTAGGGCATGTGGCTCCTCCTCAGAGCCTGTCCTGTGAGGTCAGACCCTGTTTGTGAGCAGCTTGGAGTGGTGGTGTGTTGCCTGCCTGGTGTTGTGTGTCTCTCCCACACTGCAGCCCTAAGAACTCAAGTGACCAGACTCCCGTGCCGAGCACACACTGCATTATGCTAAGTACCCACCCAGGAACTGGGGAAGTGAGGCACACTGCCCCTGAGGGACGTGAGCAAGCTGGTGAAACTCCTTGGCCAGGTGGACACAAACAGATGGGAACGCAAAGATAAATGGTTACTTTCCCACATACCCCGGCACTGGCCACACACTTGTTCCTGGAATATCCGGCTAAAAATACCTCATATGAACTTATCTTCATTAAAACTTTTAAGCAAGAGAGACATGACGTGTAATTAAGTGCCAACTGAACACACAGCCACCTAGGGGCTTCTTGAAAGAGGACCTGGGCCTTGGAATTTTTTCCTAAAGTCTTATCATTACTTACTCAAAGATACCTATCTGGCATCTGATGGGCCTGAAGATGAGGGAGAGCCAGCCTTGTTCAATCTGCCCTACCTGTCCCCCAGAAACTCCCCTGGGAGCACAGGGTTCTGATGAGGCCGTGGCCATAACTCCAGCCAGCCTCAATGGCATGCCAAGGGCTCTGTCTTAATAGCTGGGCAGGGAACAAATGTGTGCATTTTCTGGGCTAGATACAAATGTCTTAGAAGAAATGGATCCAAGTTTTTTACAGACCTGGGTTTGTGGATTGCTGAGTTAGAGACAGGCCAACAGTGTGCACTTCCAGACACTGTGAAGTCTTACACTGGCAAGGGGTGTAGTCAGCCTATGGTGGTTTGAAAAAAAATGGCCCCCAAAGGGAGTAGCACCATTAGGGGGTGTGGCCTTGTCGGAGTGGGTGTGGTCTTGTTGTCGGAAGTGTGTCACTGTGGAGGTGGACTTTGAGGTCTGATATATGCTCAAGGTACCACCCAGTATCTGAGTTCACTTCCTGTTGCCCTTGGGTCAAGATGTAGAATTCTCCAATACCTTGTCTACCTGTACACTGCCATACTCCCAGCCACCATGTCCCACCATGATAATAATGGACTAAACCTCTGAACTGTAAGCTGCTGCCTCAATTCAATATTTTCCTTTGTAAGAGTTGCCATGGTCATGGTGTCTCTTCACAGCAGTAGAACCCCTGACTGAGCCACAGCCCCGTGGAGATACTGAAAGAGCTGGAGGGTGACATCTGTGCAGGATTTGGCCAGATGTGACAGGGGGAAGGGTGAGCCCCAGCAGAGGCCACAATGTGAAACAAAGTGGGAAAAGGTGTCAAGGAGCTGCTGACCCCAGTGTCCTCAGGCCAAGGTCACAGGGGGAGAGGAAGAATGTGAGCTGGAGTCCAAACTGGAAGGCCTTGAGGCCACACTGAGGCATGTGTGCTGATGGTGTGGACACCAGGCAGGACAAGTTCTGTCAAAAGAGCCCTCTGGCAGTGTCCAACTACCCGCCCAGGAAGACTCCTCGGGAGCTAATCTGGAGCCTCGGGACCCTCAGCCTGAGGCTCACACCCAAGGGTGATGGTTGGAGCTCTTGCCCAACCTGGAGAGGATGTGGTTGGGTTGAGAAATTTCACTCCAGGTCACTCATGCAAGTGGAATGTCAGGCACCAGGGGGACACGTCCTGTGTCGATAGAGAATGTCCATCAAGCTCAGCTTTCTCTATCCCAGGCACATGGTACCTCTGGCCTCTTCCAGGGACCCATCCTAGCTCTGACACCGGGACTTTGGTGTGACTCAGTGGCAGCCATGGGAAGGGGGATCTGGCCAAGAGGGCTGTCTGTGGAGAGTCCCGGAAAGCTGGAGGCTGGTCAGCCCTGGTAACTGGTCTAGGACTCTGCTGCTCTGGCTACCTAAGGGAAGATTGGTTTAGACCGACGCCCACCCCCAACACCATTGCTCTAAGTAGTCTTCCTGTCCAGCCCGAGTTCCCTTGCTCTCCCACGCTCCTCCTCCCTGCTCACTCTCCCACACTCCTGCTGTCCCTCACCCACTTTGTCATCAGACACCAGCTCCAGCGAGACCCCCTTCCCTGTTCCTTCCCTTGCACTGGAGTCAGATCCACACACCCAGCATTTGAGGTTTTGGGCAGCTTGACATTTATAACACTCTAATTGTTGCCTTGAGGCAGAAATTGTCTCTTCTACTTCGAATTCCGGAAGCAGAGGCACCTCCTGACAGTGGTATATTGGGCTCTGCGGGGATCTGGAAAGGACAGGTGGAGGCAGCGCCCATTGTCCCCTGCAGCTCCCCCGCTCAGGACTGGGACCTGTTCTGCTCAGTTTCTGCCCTCAGGACCTCATAGGCAGGGGATGGGTCATGAGCTCATGTTCAAGAAAGGTTGCAGAAGGGTTGGGGAAAGTGGGGTTTAAAGTCTAAGTTGAGCTGGGCATGGTGGTGCATGCCTATAATCCCAGAGGCAAGTGGTTCATCCACGACTTCAAGACCAGCCTAGTCTACATCGAGAGTTCCAGGTGTGACAGAACTCCATGGCAAGGGCCTATCTCAAGAGTCAAACCAACCAACCAAACAAACAAAAAACCTCAAAATTGGTAAGGTGCTTTTATAACATGTAAGAGACTCAGGGTGAATCCCTAACACCACACAGAACAGGGTATTGACATAAAAAAAAACCATAGCTCCCATCTTAAAGAGAAGAAGAGATAGTTTATTCTGGAGCCATTCTGGGTGACCACGGTCCCAGGAACACAGATTTAGATTACTCCGAATTCCGTGTTCCAATGTGTGAGCCATTTTAAAAGGTTTTCTAGTTTTACAGAACAGAGGACGTCATAAATCGGGGCAAGTTTAAAATGCACTGGCGGGTGCATCAGAGGCGGGGTCAGCGAGATGGGGGAAGCTTTTCTAGAGGCCCAGGGTCCTGTCTGACGGCGCTCTCAGCTTTGGGATCGGTAGAAGCTAGTTGCTTGCTAAGCCGATCGATTCTAGAAAGTTCTTTATCTACTGTCACATGATGTTAGTTCCAACAGAGATATGGGCAAGGAATGGCTGTTCTGGAGGGCCAGAACTTAGCCAAAGATAAGGGAGCCTCTGGACTTGCAACATTCCGGGATCCACAGTCCTGAAATTCTAATCAGCCAATCGGCCTCTGCAGACAGGTTCCCTTCAGAAGTTTTTGTTCATAAGGGCATTATAGTACCCATCTGTAATCCTGTAATCACAGCACTTGGTGGTAGAGATGGGAAGATCAAGGTCGTTCTCTGTTATATAATGAGTTCTAGGCGATCCTAGGCTACGTGAGAGCCTACCAAAAATAAGGTAAGCCCAGGTTGTGTGAAATGGAGAGATGAGGCCGTGGTAGGGAGAGGGCAGATGCTATCTGCAGCAGCATAAAAGGCGTTTTTGAGGGAAAGTGGGAACAAATATGTGCCCAGAGCCCAGACCCCTCTTCTGAAATGCACACGAGGGTAAATTCCACCGTCTTTATTATTTATATATGAAGTCATAGTCAAAAAGAGGTGAAAAGCCCAGGGGGGGGGGACATGGAGGCCCAGGTCTCTGCAGAGAAAAGTAAGGCTGACTCTCCGTGGGTCAGGCCGCAGCCCGGGCACCTCGGGTGGGGCTCCCAGCACAGCTCAGCTTTCCTGGAGCTGGCATGTGTGGCCACGTGCGCCATGCTTCAGCACGGACCGTGACCAAGTCTATGGTCATGCTGATTCTCCCAGCAGCGGTGGCAGTGGATGAAGGGGCTCGCTGCTGCTGACCACTCTGGGAGCTAGGCCCCAGCCTTGTGTGGGTCTCGGTGGCTCAGCCATTCTGCAAAGGCTGCCCGGTAGCGGCTGTATAATAGTATTGCCAGTGTGCTGATCTCAAAAACACCAAAACACTGTGATACTTCCATGCTGCCTGGCCCCCCCTCTTCCAGCACAGGTGGACCTCCTTAATGAGGAAGGGCTAGCACTTGACACAGCAGGGCTTCCCAGCCCTTCCTCATCCTTAGTGAACAAGGGTGCTAATGATCTGGGTTAAATGCTTTGGCCTTTGCTGATGTGTTCAGGGTAGTGATTCAGAGCTTGCTTCTGACTGCAGGAGTGTGGCCCAGACACACATGCAAGGCAAAACACCCATACACATAAGATAAAAAGGCTGCTTTCTAAGTGTGGCTCCTACTGAGGTGCCATCCTGTGCCTTGTTGGGCACAGAAGTATAAATCCTGGCCATGTGTTGGTAGTATTCCAGATGTTGCTTAGCTGAGCTTGTAAAAGGGCAGAGTACACCAGGCAGGGCTGGGAGTCCCAGCTGAGAGATATACTGTCTGATCAAGGGCAGATGGTAGGGTGAACAGGGCAGACACCGGCAAACGCTGAAAGGTATCTCATTGTTTGGCTATGAAGAAGGGAAGAAACTGAGGCATGGACAGAAAGTCTGATGGGCGTGTCAGAGGCTGTGCCTTCTGTGGGCTGGGGAGGTGAGCATGTGGGGTTCCCCCCCAAAGCCCCAACCTTGGAGAAAAGCCAGGGCCTGCTGACTGTGACTATCCTTCCCCGTAGCCTGATGTTCACCAAGGTGAAGCTGGAGCAGGTGCTCAAAGGCCCAGAAGAAGCCCTCGTGACCTGCAGGCAAATGCTGAGGCTGTGGCAGACCCTCTACAACTTCTCTCAGCTGGGGTAAGTGGCTGGCATTGCCCCTTGGGTTGTCCCAGGGTAGAGGGCAGAGTTGACAGGTGGTAGCTGCCAGGCTAGCGGTTGTCTCAGAGGCCACGGTCCCTACAAAATGTGGTGGTTGGTTTGGATGGAGATGTGGAACTCGGTGTTTAGGGATTTTTAGATCGTGGCTCAGTTTTAATCCCTTGGCAGTCTTCTATACCACACATGAAGACCTGGTTAGAAGACAGAGCTCAGGGTGGTGGAAAAGTAGAAAAGCCATGCTTGAGCTCCTGAGTCGGGTCCTGGGCTTCTTCCTTTTTGTGATTCATGAGCCACTTACGTCTTCTGCATTAGCAGAGTCTGAGACTTGGAGATTTGTCTAATTTGCCAGTTGCTTACCTGGTAAGTGATAATACTGGGAAGTGAACCCTGAATCCCAGACCATGGAGCATATGCACAGGCACTCTGGGAACCTAGAAGGCCTCAATTCTCCTTAGAGGAAGGAACCTCTCTCCTAGTGAAATCAGAGACCCAAGGAAATAGGATGGAGTGAAAAAAACCTCTGCAGGCTACCAAGCCTGGGAGGTTCCAGAGCAGGGCAGAACTAGTGGGTAGAAACTTCCAGAAAGCTATGGGTGATGGATTTTTCACACAAGTAGTAGAAACACTCCCCAGTGATGGGCACTGTAAACCCAAAGACCATTCTCCAATCTGGGTGGATTTGCATTCAAATGCCTTTTGCTAGAGCAGGTTCCCAGCCTGGCTCGGTTTGCCCAGGAGTTGCCCTGGAGCTAGCTGCTCCTTATCTGGCTGGCGGGTAGGCTGTACATGTGGCCAGTCTAGACAAGGCCCCACAGAGTGGTAGCTTTGACTCAGCAGCAGGCTGTGGAGCTGCCAGGTGTTCTCACAGGGGCAGGGACAGTTGAGCTTACCCTGATGTTCCAAGTCACCACACACATATTCCATTCTGTCCTGAGAGGCTGGTAGAGCTCATAATGCAGACTACCTCTTCAGGAAACCACCACAACTATCTCATCCCAACATACAGCAGAGCTCAGCCAGGTCACTGCTTGGGCCCACAAATCTGGATCCAGTCCTTCCTGGCTGCCTCAGGAGACAGGAAGGGTTTTTCTTTGAAACCTAGAGCCAGAAACCACTGCTTGTAAAATCTAATTTTGGGCAATCATAAACTAAGACCAAAATCCACAGCGGGAGGGTCTGACCGACCTACCACGAACCTAGCCAGCCTACACCACTCACACTCAACACCCCTGTATTCTGCTCAAACCACGCTGCTAGCCCGATGTTCTCATCACCCCTAGTCCCTGCTTCATGAAGCTACTGCCACCCAGCAGCCACTCAGCCCTGTCCATAACAGTCTTGGTGACTTGCTTAGTTTGGCCCATCCTTCACCTGGTGTGGGGCGTTTACCCACCACCCCCACAGTTCCCCAGAGTTTTCTTGAGTGTGAGCAGCAGGAAATATTAGAAGGATTTATTGCGGAGAATCTCGCGGAGATAAACAGATAGAAAATAAAGGATAGCCTCGAGAGGGCCTGGAACCTATTCCAATGGGCCCTGTCTCTGCCCCAGGGTTTTTATAGAGACGCCAAGGGGTGGAGCAAAAGACCTCCTCCCCCAGCACAGCCAAGTGCAGACCATCCCAGACACCTGCACTCAGGCCCGTGGTCTAATCATCCTCTATGCGGACCTGCTGGGTAAAGCCACGAGGAACCCAAGAACGGGCTCCCACAACCTGGTACAGGTCCTTCAAAGTAACATGTTGCAATGTTAACCTTAAACTGTGCAGCACAGTCTCTCAAGAGGGGCTGTTTCAGTGCCTGAGCAGAGGATCTCTCATGGGGAAAGAGAAAAGGTTTGATGGGCGCCTGCATGGAAGGGAGCTCTAACCTAGGCTCCTCTGCAGGTGTCGGTCAATAGCCTTGAAGCTGCACATCATGCTCGGTTTCAAAAGGAAAGGACCATGGGAAAAGTCAGGTAGGCGAGAAGAGTAGGACATCATTGACTTCCCACTCAGGTGCTTCTGGAATTAGGGGGAAAAAGTCTTGGTCACTGCTCTATATTGCTATGAAGGGACACCATGACCAAGGCAACCTTCTAAGAGAAAGCATTTAATTGGGGGCTTGCTTACAGTTTCAGAGGCTTAGTCTATTATGATGTTAGCTGGGAGCATGCATGACTGCATGCATGCGTGCAGGCAGGCATGGTGCTGGAGCAGTAGCTGAGAGCTACATCCTGACCTGCAAGCAGAGAGAGAGAGAGAGAGAGAGAGAGACAGAAACAGACAGACTGACTGACTTACTGGGCTTGAAACCTCAAAGCCCTCCCCCAGTGACACACTCCAACAAAGCCACGCCTCCTGATCCTTCTAATTCTTTCCAATAGTGCCCCTCCCTGGTGACTAGCATTCAATTATATGAGCCCATGGGGGCCATTCTTATTCAAACCACAGTGAGGAAGGAAAGGAACCATCCCTGATCTGCTATGTTTGGAGAGATGGTTTTCTTTGATGCCCACTTAAGATGACTGAGCATCTACAAACCACGTCAGGGCCAGTGTAAATTCTGTCAGGAAACAAAGATGCCCTCGACTGTGGCGCCATCGTCTATGGAGCCAACATCTTGGTGTACCTCCAATGGGAAGACACCCCCTGGCACCTTTCCTGTGGTGGCTCTCCTGAGTTTCCCCAACCCATGCCAAGTGCCATTGGCTTCCTCGGACATGGGAAGGGGCTGGTCCAGAGTGCCACAGTTTCTGCCTTTTTGAGCAAAGGTTCCTTCCTGGCCCCTCCCACCTCCCACTCTGAGAAAATGAAAGCCCCTCCCCCCAGTGGGGTGGGAGACGCAGGGACTTAGAGATGGACGGAAAACAAAATGAGACCCCCACATTTGCTTGTCTGCCACTTGTTCTCCCTAATCCGAGCTCCTTTGGGGCTGCCTGGCAGTCTGGGGGTTCCGTTGCAGAGCGTGGCCCCTGGCCCTTCACCCAGACTGTTCTTAGACTGGAGCCAGCCAACAGTCCCTGTGCCTGGAGGTAGAGGCCTCACCTTCAAAGAGGGCATGGACACTGGTGTGTCTGTGTCTGCCTGTGTGTGTATAGGACCCACGCTGGTCTGTCTGTCTGTCTGTCCTTTCCGGCCATTCTGGATTTTCTCTCTTTCTTGAGCTTGGACTCTTAGCCTAAGAGTCTGCTGAAATGGGGTTCCCTCATGCTCCCTGCTGGCCCTGAGGGTGCCCGTCCTCGGCATCATGGAGTCCTGCCCTCCTTTGCCTTCCAGAGGCCTGGAGAGGGATGGCAGCTTTGAAGGCCTCACGGTGAAGAAACAGAATGGCATTCACCTGACTCTGCCGGATGCCCATGACGCAGATTCCGGTAAGATCGGGATTGATCTTGGCTCTGGGTGGGGCTGGCAATTGGCCCACAGAGGGGTGGTGGCCACCCTTTGTGGGCAACAGAAGGAGGTTCATACCTCCTCAGCAGAGTGAAGGGGAGGAGAATGGGACAGAAAGCTGACCTGGACAGAGACTGCTGCCCCTCAGAGCAAAGCCATTGGCCAGAGTCTGCCCAGTGTCTGACCCTGGGGTCAAACAGAAAGGAATGGGTTGAGTTCGTTCCAGCTCGAAGCTCAAGGCTGACTCTTAAAATGATTTGTATTTTATGTGCATTGGTGTTTTGCTTGCATGCATGTCTGTGTGTGGGTGTTGGATCCCCTGGACCTGGAGTTACAGACAACTGTGAATCACCATGTGGTTCTGGGAACTGAACCCAGGTCCTCGAGAAGAGCAGTCAGTGCCCTTAACCATTGAGCCATCTCTCCAGTCCCTCAAACTGGACTCTTTACTGCAAAACTAATCCTGAAACCCAGGGCTCATAAAATTCAAATGAGATCAGGAATTACAAATGTCCATCTTTAAACCGAGGACCTGCTTCAAGTAGAACCCTCCCTCGAGGACACGAGAGAAATTAGTCGCAGGATGGAAGTGTGAGTGGGGTTGGACTTGGTAAAACTGCTCTTATTCCCTCTCCCCCCACCCACCCACTCTGGTTAAGCCATGCTTTGTTGTTAGAGAGATGGAGTGGACTTCACTAGCCAAACCCAGCACTTGACTCTAGAGACATACTGTGAGGTTGCTTGGCTGCTTGGGAAACTACCTTCTCCAAGGAAGGGCATGGTGTGTGTTTCGGTGGGGGGAGGGGGGCAGGCTCTTGTAATTAAAGAGAGAAGAATTGCGTCCAGTTGTCAAGGCTTCCCATGTTCTTGTCTCATACACCGGTCGTCTGTGGTTTGTCCTGAGGCCTCCTGAGTTTATTGCAGCTGTTATTGTCTCTGAGAAAGAGAAAGCGCCCGTGGTTCACCTGCATGGGAATTTCAAATGTCAACAGCTTATCTATCCTGAGCAGGGCCCACACGGCCCATAACCACAGCAAGAGAGGTTCTCTGAGGGCATAGGTTACCTGTGAGCTATTGTCCAAGGATCTTTTGCCTCCCAGCTTCAAATGTGTGGGGTCTCAACATCTGTGGAACCGTGTGTACTGTGAAAACAGAAAGTCAAAATCACAAAAGAAAGAAAAGTATCACCCCTCCATTCACCACCTAAGGAAAGGGAATTCCTTCCGCACACACTCATACTTAGTTGTTGTAATGTGCTTGTACTGTTCTCCATTCACCTGAATAATGTGACAGCTACCTTTACATATCAGTGCCACACGAGCGTGTCTTCAGAGCCTTGTGGGACTACACTTTCACTTATTTTTAATCAGCTCCTATTGTTGAACATTTGGGTAATTTTCTGTTTCCCGTATTAAAGGTAGGAGTCAAATGAGCATCCTTGCTGTCGTTTATGATTATTTTCCCTGGGGATAAATCCTCAGTGGAATTTTTGCCAAATTACCCCTTAAAAAGCACATCTGCCCCTCTGTGGAGAGGGGTGGACAGAAGACCCTCCTAGGGTCCGTGAGTTGGTTTCTTGGCAGCTGCCCGGGATGCTCTCTTTGCCCTGTAGCTAGGCATTGACTGCTCTAGGCCAGGGGCACGTGGTACCCTGACTTTGCTCAGCCCTATGCCCTCTTGCTCTGCAGGCTCTCGGCGGGCATCATCTATCGCAGCCTCGAGGCTGGAGGAGGCCATGTCGGAGCTGACCATAACAACCTCAGTCCTGAAGCAGGGCCCCATGCAGCTGTGGACCACACTGGAACAGATCTGGCTCCAGGCTGGTGAGTGTCCCCTGATCCATGCTCATCTGTATGGCTGAAGCCGCCAGATGCCCAGACCCTGTCCTTGAGGATGAAGGTGGGGGAGGTGGAGATTTCTGAAGAAGCTTACATAGGCTTATACTCTTGAGTTCTGTAGTTCTCTTTCCAAACTCATTTTCTCTCCTCCCTCCCCTCTTCAAGTTTCCCCATCCTAGCCTCAGAGACTGTACTCAGAACTCAGATACTGGGATCTTGTCTTGGTGCCCCAGGAGAGGCATGTTCCGGAAGAACAAGACCACCTACTTCCCTTTCCCTGAGGTTTCTGCTTGTCTTGGCTGGCTGGCTGGGGGGTTTCTTCTTTGCCCAGTGGGGAGAATGCCTGCCTCCCTAACCTGAGAGGTTCCTGGTGGCAATAATGTGAGAGGTTTGAGGTCAGGTGGGGCTGCGAGAATGAATAGTCCAGAGGGCTAATGACATGGAGACGGCTGTCCAGGTGACATGCCTTTTGATCCCCAGCCAGCACTGTTCCTACAGGCAAATGAGTGCTAGCAGGGTAGGTTTCCGGAAGCCCTGGCTGGAGTCACCCAGATTAGAGTCCCGTGCGTGCTCGCCGGCTGACAACTGGCTAGCCCGGGTCTGCAATGACTCATAAGCAAAAGCAGTTCCTACAACCCATCGTGGGTGCTCCGCAGCTAGCACATGGCTTCTGGAGCCGCCTTTTGGGTTCATGGTGGGCCAGAGGCTGTGAGGCACCCCCAGACTGTGTGCTTGGCTCTGAAATGCCAAGGAGTGACTCGCTGGAAAGTGTTTGGCAATTTAACCTGACCGTGGTGTGGTGGATTACAGGGGAAAGAAAAATCAAGAGTAAGAGTGAACAGTAGAATTAAATGTCTCCAGCAGAGTCGAGGAGGAGGAGAGGAGGTCTGAACCTACACCAGGCCACCCTGCCTTTGGTCTGAAACTGCCAAAGCCTGGGGCCCTGGGGCCCTGTCCCCCTGTCCCCCTGGTTAGTCTCACCCTCCCCGCTGTCCTCACTGGAGTGGGCTATAGTCCCCAAGGAGGGGGATGGAATAGAAAGCAGTAGGAAGTAGATAACCAGTTCCCTGGGTAGGTGGTGTTGGCAAGAGTTAGAATGCTCATTAATGAGAGCCCAAGGCTACTCCCCGGGGCATCTATCCACATGTGGACACATTAGTATGCATCCTGTCGTGGACTCTGAATCTGGAGGGGGAAAAAGTGGCCCAGGATTCCCAGGAAGCCTAGACACGACAGCATGGTAATAATAATGCAAATCTTGCCCCACTTCGCATCTCAGGATTCCTTAGGATGCTTGGGGAGCAGGGGGCGGGGGCTGCAGAGTAAAGGGAACATTGAAGGAGTGTAAAGGCGTGAAAAACAGTGATGCTTCTACTCCTTTCAGAGAGCTGTGGAGAGGCAGGTGTAACAGAGCCCACGCTGGAGCTCACCTTGGTCATGTGAGCTTCAAGGGCTGCACCCTTGAAGAGCCCCTGCTGGTAGCTCCCCGGGCCTTTTGTTTTCCTGATGTGTCTTGGATTTGCACTTGGGATGCGTCTGAAAGCACCTTGGGTTTCTCAGACGCATCGCCTTATACTGGGGTAGTGGCGTGTGCCAGCAATAACTCTGAGGAAAGGGGAAGGCTTTTCAAAACCTGGAGCAAAATTTGGGCATGACACCGTAAGCATACACCCTTCAGTAAGTCACACGTTAGCCTTCCTGCTTTGGACATTATCCTGGATGTCACTGCCCAGAGAAATCTGAGAGCAGCCTGTGGACACAGGGAAGAGCATAAGTCACAGCGGACAAATCGGGTGTGGTCACAGATCCGAAACTGTCTTATACAAGGGAGAAGCCTGTTTCACCCATACAGAAACGACAGCCTCAGGTGACACTCTGCCATCTCTAGGGCATTGCTCACATCCATGTACTTCACAGTGGCTCCTTGTGACACTCACATTCTGAGGCAGAAGATAAACATGGAGGGGGAAGTGCCCTCCCTCTTCCCATAAGGACATACCGTAGAATTTGCATGCATCCCCTCATCTCATGATTCATTGGCTGGGGCTCCATTCTTTGACTGTCCCCAACTGCAAAGGACTCTGGCATTATTCTGCATGTCCCTATGCCTCACTATATACATCATGAGATCTGTCCTTCTGGAAGCAGGAAATAGACGGATGTACAGCTCCCATGGCCGAGAAGGGAGTGAGAGAATGTGTCCTAGGTCCCTCATCATGAGCATGTTGGGACCCATTTGCATCCTCTGTCCCTGGGCCGCCATGTTCACCAGCACGTACTGAGTACCTGTTGGAGGAAAAGCTGCCAGGACCAGGTCACCAAGGCCACAACTCATCCCCAAACTGCCCTACCTGACCCAGGCTGAGCATATAAAGGTCAGCATCCCCCCTCAACCCAGCCCCGCCCCTGCACACACAATAATGCTAATAGATCCCGTGAATGTGCCGAGAAGAAACCGATCCTTCATCACTTCTGAACCAGCTCATCCCGAGTGTGGTTCGGGATAAACCGCCGCCAAGTCTGGTCAGTAAGTTCCCCCGTGAAACAACTCTGGCTGGCAAAGTTATGCTTTCTCTCCCACACTTACGTTCTCCTTCTACTCCCTCAAGCCCCCCAGCTTCCGGGAGGATTTGCTCTGAGGCTAGCGGTAGGGGGTGGGTGTCTTGCTTCCTGGGCAGTGGGTCTGTGAGAATGGGAATGCTGCTACCAGACGCACGTGTGTGCCAGAATCTCCAGTGTGGAGAGGTCCTTTCCACAACACACACACCTACACACACCCCTTCTCACTCCTGGAAGCATCTCTGTCATCATATGGTGTACCAGAGAGAAGGGGTGTGGACACGGGGACTCCCCTGCCCTGGAGGTCCAAGGACTCCTGGCCAGCTCTGGGCTCTCTCTGCTGCAGGAAGCTGACCTGGTCTCCAGTCCCCAGTCATTCATGTTACCTGAGAGCTTTAGGGGCCTCACCCTGCAAGTGGAAGCCACCCCGGGTGTGTGTGTGTGTGTGTGTGTGTGTGTGTGTGTGTGTGTGTGTGTGTGTGTGTGTGTCTGAACTGAAGTTTGCTAGAAAGTCACACAGAGCCCTTAGGAGGGGCCCTGCCTTTCAGGGCAGAGCCAGGCTGACAGCATGTTGTAGAAAAGGGCCCCACAAGCCACCTGACTTCAACCTTCCCTCCCCTTATCCCTCTTTGCCCTTCATTATTCTTGGTTCTGTCTTCCTTGGCTCTTTGCCTGCTCCTCACTCGCTCTAACACTGCCCCCCCCCTTCCCACAGTCAGGACTAGTGAGGTCCTGGGCCCTGACTGCCCGCACCTCAGCCACGCTCTCTGGGACTCAGTGCTGGAGGGCCATGCTCTTCTGTGGAGTCTCCGTGACCCTCTGACCTTTCTCTACCCACATTCCTTTTCTCTCTACCTTTATTCTGAGCATCCGCATCTCCTGAGGGCCTGCTTCACGGGGGAGCCACGCTTACCTCCTTTGAGATGGATAAAAATGTCCTCACTGTGGAGGTCAAGGCCAGGCAGGGGAGATGCCTTTTAGAGCAATGGCTCTCAACCTTCCTGATGCTGCGACCCTTTAATACAGTTCCTCATGTTGTGGTGACCCCCAACCATACAATTATTTCATTGCTACTTCATAACTGTAATTCTGCTGCTGTTATGAATCGTGATGGTAATATCTGATATGCGACCCCTGTGAAAGGGTCGTTGGACCCACCGGGGTCATGGCCCACGGGTTGAGAAGCACTGTTTTAGAGCTGTATCTAGTTCTTTCCTGTCCCAGGCCCTGCACAACCCCTTCCTTTTTCTGAGGTCTTGGCAGGTTCTCACCTGGGAAGGCCCCGAGATCCTGGAAGGGCCCCCTGCTTCTCAGCGTAGGAACAGCCTGAGGACAAGACTCCCCCCCCCCCCCCCCCCCCCGCCTTGTTGCACAAGAGTGTGGAAATGGGCCTTAGAGAGAGAACTCAGCCCCCGGGTGCAGGGTTAGACCAGGATGTCTCCGAGAAGAACAATAAAAGGGCCGCTTGCAAAGCTCCAGGGAGCAGATGTTTTCCATTTGTACCCTGTGGAGGGTAGCGGAGGGAACCCGGGAGCCAGGAGGAAGAGAACCAGAAACAGACTGAAGAGGAGGCAGAGCCTGCGGCAGGGAGGATAATGAGACCAGCGAAAAGAAGGCAGGAAGAGGGAAAAGGAGCTGGGGGAGGGATGTGCTCTGGCACTCAGGGAAGAACAAAGGTTTGCTGGCTGCCCTAGATAAGGCTAAGCTCGGAGCAATGCGTACTAACCCAGCCCTGGCCAGGGGAGCACACGGGTGTGGGCATGGCGAGTCCGACAGCCAGGAGGAAGAGGATCCAGGCAGTGGTGGGCACCATGCCACCAGGCTCCTGCTGCAGTCTCGGCTGGCTGGCCGGCTGGCTGGCTAAGAGCACCATGTTTGGTAAAACAGCAAGCAGTTGCTGAGGGCACCTGCCCAGAGGACGGAGGGTAGGAAGACATGGTACATCGAAGCCCCCAGAACCTGAGCGGCTGGTTTCAAGGCTGAGGCCTTGCCAAGGAGGCTGGACCTGTGTTTGAGGGGCTGGACCTGTGTGTGAGGGACTGTTCACAGCGTGGCCAGAGCCCTCAGGAGACCTGCCTCTCTGACTCCGTCACCTGGCTTCCTAAGTGATATAGAGACCCGTGGGAGAGCAGAGTAGCCCACTTACTTCTCGGGGAGTGGTCCTTGGTGTGTGGCTTCTCGCCTGGGTCCAGGGCCTCAGAACGCCCCAGGGTCCCCAGCACTAATTGAAATCTGTTGATAGGACCACACTGAGGAGTACCCAAGGCTGGGACTAGGGACAGTCTCCTGGGGGCTTGGAGGCGCAGGGCAGCAAGTTGTAAACAGCTTAATGAGCCATGACGGGAGCCAAGTGGGCCCAGCCTGGCTGGGGCTGCTCAGTGAGATCTAGGCGTTAAGAGTATGACCCTGGATCCTCAGAGCTCCTATCCACAGAGAACCCCCCCCACAGGTGCTGGTGTGTGTGGGGGGGCATCCACCTTGCACCAAGCCTCACCCCCCCCACCCTCTCCCCCACCCCCCCCCACCCGCCCCCGTCTCTCCACCGTCCCCTGGGGGTTCTGCCACAGCGGAGCCTGCCTGCAGGTTGGCCTCTCCCTTCTCTCTACCTGCTCAAATGTGAACTCCTCTAGAAACACCTCCCCGGCCACACCACAGTGGCACCGACCTGGCCTGCCCTGTCCCTGTAACACCCCGAAATGGTTTCTGTCGTGTCACTGTCCTGGACCCCTCAAGTGCTTTGGTGGCTCAGTTGCCACTACCACGTCTTTCCTTACGGGGGACTGGACATGTAGTCAGGGCTCACTATACTTGCGTAGTCTACACTCGGTTAGGAATACAGCCTGTGCAAAGGCCCCGGGGACCGCTCAGCAGGAGAGCAGAAAAGGGAGAGAGCCGGATCCCTGACCACTGGCCAGCCCCGCCCTGTGAGGGCCTGGCTCAAAGCCCCCATCTCCTGGTGTCACTCTGCCTCTAAGGAGAGGAGCCTTGGATGTCTACCTGTCCCTATAACCACAGCATGAGAGTTTGCCTCCTCTGATTATCCCAGCTTCTTACCACATTAGAAGAAAAAAAAAAAGTGTTCCAAACGCTCTCTGTCATATTTTGGGATGAGGCAAGCTGATTGGATTATACAATGAACTTTAGGTGGCCTTCCTGCCTAAGAACCCCCCCTGCTGCCTACTACAGTTCTTAGGCTGTCTTCCCGACGGGCAGAAGGGACGCCTGAGTCAGGTCTGTCCACCTCTCTCTGGGAGTTTCCACTGGGGAGCGTCTGTTACCTTCCCCACCCCAGACATGCTCTGAACTGGTGTAACCTCAGCCTGCAGCCCCGCGCTAGGAAAAGCTCTTGGCAGCGCCGCAAGCCAGACTCCGCTGGCCTCCCGCGCTCCCCATCTGCCTTGCCATCCTTCTGTGACTTCCGTATGGGCACCAGCTCCGGGAGGGGGCAGCCGAGCCCCAGCCCCAGCCCCAGCCCGGGGAGCTGCTTGGAAAGAAAGGCAGAGTGGGCCAGCGAGCGGCGGCGTTGCTAAAAGCGTCGGTGGTGGGCGAATGCCTGTGCCGTGTGGGGCTGAAATGCGCAGTTCTGTGGGCTGCCTGGGGATGGGAGAAACTGCACCTCTTCCCCTAGATCTGCAGAAGGAGCTGATGATGCTGCCTGCTGGCCGCAAGGGGTGTGTGTGTGTGTGTGTGTGTATGTGTGTGTGTGTGTGACAGAGTTAGGGACAGGCTGTGGGGGGAGGGGAGGCCAGTCCAGCAGTTGGCCTTTCTAAGAGGGGCTGCGCCACCACCCCCTCAGCTTAACTGTTTATAGTGAAGATCCTAATTACGCGTGCCTCCCTCCAAGACTACCTGTAAGGGAAGTTGGGGCTTGCCCCCAGTTGGCCTCCTTAAGTACGGGTGGTAGCCATGTCACTGTGCCACTTGGTTTGAGCCTTGGGTGCCTCATCAGAGGCCCCAGATCTCACTGCCCCCATCCTTCACAGGACTTGGTACCCTCCAGGCCTCTAAGCACACTCCCACCTCATCCTGAGCATGCCAGGGCCTAGTAAGTCCCTCGGCTAATCTGCTTGGACGGAGAGGCCTCCGGGAGAGTCACCAGGTCTGTCCCCACCCTGTCATTCGCCCACAGAAGCAATGGACAAAGGCAGTGGACAGACACTGAAGCGTGTCAAAGACACGCAAGCAGGCATTCCACCCCGGGCCACGCGATTCCCCCGCTGCCGGGTGGGTCTAAAGTCAGACAGCCTGGTACCAACCCTGACTCGATCCGTTTCTGTCTATGCAGTTCCGGGTTTCTAAAGTGGGGTGGTGAAAGTACTTTCTCCAGGGTCTGTGTGGCATTGGCCGAGGCAGTTTGTATCCAGCACGTGACTGACAGAGTAGGCACTTAGAGCCTGGTACTCAGTGTCATCTTTATACTTCCCAGCAAGGTAGCCTTGTGCTGTGACTTTCTTGGCTCAGGGATGTGGGCTGGGGCTGCTCGCTGCCTTTGACTTAACCACCCGCCCCTCACACGTCCCTCGGCCCCTCTGTTTTCACAGCTGAGCTGTTCATGGAGCAGAGACACCTCAAGGAAGCAGGTTTCTGCATCCAGGAGGCTGCGGGCCTCTTCCCCACCTCTCACTCGGTGCTCTACATGCGAGGCCGGCTGGCTGAGGTGAAGGGCAACTTGGAAGAGGCTAAGCAGCTGTACAAGGAAGCGCTCACCGTGAACCCGGACGGCGTGTGCATCATGCACAGCCTGGTGAGTCCCCCTCGCCTCCCCCCACCTCCTTTCCCGTCTCTTCACCCTTCACACCAGCCCCTTGAGGCTGCCGCTGCCAGGGCGTCTCTAGGCTTCCTGCAAGCTCTGCTGTGAGGGGCATCTGTATGTGTCTTAGAGGGGTAAGCTGTTTCCCCCACCACCAGAGTCTACATTGATGAAAAAGAAAATCCAGAAGGGTTGGTTGGCATTTTGTGTGTGTGTGTGTGTGTGTGTGTGTGTGTGTGGCTTCCATATTGCTGTGAAATTCTATGTGTGATCTATACCCCAAGATTCCATGACCACTTGTTAGAGTCTTAACCTGGGAGCTACCCCAGACTTTAGGCATTTCCCAACATACCTTGTATGAGGGTCCTCAGACTCTTCCCCAGACATTGGGCTGCCTCTTCCATTCATTCCATGGCAGCTCTGTGTCCTTGGAGGACTCAAGGTTCTCGAGGGTGAGCCATGTCAAGTCTGGCATGAGTGGATATGGAGAATGGCCCCGGGGTTGTAAAAGAGTCCACCAGATGCTAGTTCTAGAACATGGATTCAGGACTTGGGTACCAAGGGCACAGTGATACACCTACACCCATGGGTGGAGAGGTTCGGTAGCTGAGAAGTGCTTATCCTGTCCCACCTACCTTCTACCTTGGGTGATCATGGGTAGGTGAGTCACCACCTCTGAACCTTAATTTTGCTTATCCATCCAGTGAAGAGTCTATGGTCCAGGAAACATCATTGTGTTTCTTACTCTGGTAGAGTAAGACTCTGCAGGTGACCTTTGCCCCTGCTCTCTGCAGCTGCTTCTGGACAACAGAGATCAGGACAGATGGAGTGGCATGAAGTAAGCCCACCTGCTGAGGCACGAGTGGTCTCTGAAGGACCATTTCAGAGCCCACAGTGAGCGAGGTCCTGTTGAGGTCTAGGTTCCAATTGGATGCCCCCTCACCTTGAGGATGGCTGTTGCAGTATCCCTGACATCTGGCACGTGGAGATCACAGGATGGGAATAGTCCCGTGTGGTCAGATGGTTTCCATTGCCAGAAGGGAATTTAGCCCCGATAAGAGGCCATAGGAGTTGGTTTTCAATCTGGGTTTAAAGAGTTTGGGTGTATACTCAGAAATCACTTGAGGGAATGGGGGAAAGGCTGGACCAAAGCATCTTTATATCCTTTCTAACCCCAGCAGTCCTTGAAAACAGAGCCAAGCAAAGCTTCCCTGCTCAGCCCTCATCCTGCCGCCACGTTCCTTCGGCTGTTTGCATTTTGAGCCCCAGATAAAGAAATCACAGGCCACAGCGTCACACAGCCCTGTCCCTTCCCATAGCTCCCTCCCGGCCCGTGGTCAGCCCTGCTAGCTACAAGGCACATCCCCCTTCCTCCTGCATTTCAGACATCGGCTTTGCTGGTTAATGCCTCACTGGGGGTCATGTCCAGAAAACCCCGTTATCGAGGAGGGCTGGGCTGGCATGATTCGAGAATGCCAGCCTGCAGTCTCAGCCCCAAAGCCCAACAACGTCCAGTAACAAGTACAGTTTTGAAGGAACAGCGTACCATTTTTCATTTATGCTTATTATTGTTTGTAGCTATTTGCTTGAAATGGAAGTGGTTGCCAACCATGGGTTTCCATGGTAACCGAATAGCTGTCCAGAGTCGCTCCCTGCAGATGTTACTGAAATGGTCCCTTTTTTCTCTTCCTGGGGTGCCTTGCTGATTTAATGAAACTGGAGCGAGTCGGAGCCAGGTCGCCCACTCTCGGTTACCCGCGAGCAGAGGGGCAGTCGGCTCCTGCGTGGGCAGCCCATCCCCTTTCCACAGGCTTTGTTCCTGCCAGCCCTCCCACACATATGCATAAAGAATAGCAAACTGCGAGCCTGGAGAAGATTTACTAAGCATATTTTCCTAAAGACGTGTGAATGCTTTTAGCATGTTGATCTCGAGTGTTCCCCTCATCCAAATGCCTTCCTTGTGCTGCCCTGCGACTCAGGACATCTGGGCGGGTGCTCATCCTGGCTCTGGCCTTGGTTTACTTGGGTGACTTAAGAAGAGACTTAACTTCTCTGTTCCCAATGTCCCCTTTTGTAAATGGATAATAATTGTCCCCAGATTATAGTGGTTTTCTAATCAAATGAGATCGTGCCCATGAAAGTCTGCAGTGAAATGGGAAAGGAAGAAAGACAGCATACAGACCTCTCTTTTCCAGCCCCCTCCACCGACAGACATTAGTAATCAATCATATCACTGCTTTCCACCGAGCATCAGTAGAGCCTGAGCTCTTTTTAAATGTGCTATAACACCATGGAAAATAGTTCTAGTGGGTTAAGTCAGCTTGCTATTTCTATCAAGAATTCCTTGTGAAAGTATCCGTAGAGAATGAAAGAGACATCATTTCGTGTATTCCGGGATAGATACAGCCTTAGAGAATTATCCAAAGAAAAGAACATAGAGGGGTGGGTACTGGCTCCCCACCATGAAGCCGTTGCCAAGGCAGGTTCCCAGGGAAGACAGTCTAGCTATTCCAACACCACTGAACCTTTACATAAACTCAACCCCTAGTAGGTGCAACTAGGAGAGCCATCTTTCCCTGTGGTGTTTCAGCCACGTACAAGCCTGGGCTGGAAAATTCTTCTGAAGTCATGGGGAAGTCCCCCTTCCCTGGGGTCTGGAAAGAAGGGGGTGGGGATATTCCTAGGGTACTGTGTAGGGGGCCAGGCTTGACCCCACCGTCATAGGGTGGGGCTGGCAAGTACCAGGAGAGGAATGCTCACTGGGGGCAGAAGCCTGCAAAGCTAAGATGTTCTGTAGCTCTGTTCCGCCATCACCCTCCCTGGATGCCATGGGGGAGCTCTCTTCCTGGTTCTAACTTCACCCTCCACACAAGTTAGGGTTCTGCACCAGACCAGGCAGGAAGGATTGCCTTCCATGGTAGTTCTGTGTCAGGAAAAAGAGAAAAAACAGAAACACTCTACTGTGCCCACAGCAGAGTCCAGAGCAGTGATCCACTGTTACCCATGCACGTTCAGGGGTTTCCGAATGAAAATCAGACCAGGCAGTCTCCACCTTCCTCCCCCACCGGAAGCCCCCTCAGCTGGAGCACTTGGACTCAAGTGTGTTAGCAGAAGGATCTAGTTGAGAAGCCTGACATTGCCTGCCCCACAGAGCATGAGTAGAGAAGCAGGGCCTTTGCCAGTGTCCTCAGAGGAGGATTGATCTTCAGGGAGGGCAGGAAGGGACCCCGGGCTCTCGCCCTACATTCTGTCACAGAACTTCTCAGCAGCACTGGACACCTCCAACAAAAATGGAACACAGGCCGGGCGGTGGTGGCGCACGCCTTTAATCCCAGCACTCGGGAGGCAGAGCCAGGCGGATCTCTGTGAGTTTGAGGCCAGCCTGGGCTACCAAGTGAGTCCCAGGAAAGGCGCAAAGCTACACAGAGAAACCCTGTCTCGAAAAACCAAAAAAAAAAAAAAAAAAAAAAAATAGAACACAGGAGCCCGGACAGTGGCCAACGGACTGGCCATGTCAGTGATGGCCCTCCCAGGGGGTGTTCCTATGTTGACACCTTAACAGGTCATCGGTCGTTCATGAGGTTTTAGAGGGGTGACCAGACAAAGGAGTAGGGCCTCGAATCTCTGGGGACAGCAGGTTTGGGGAAGACAAATGGGAAGTTAATGGTGGACAGAGGCTCCTGAGTGAGCTTGGCTGTGTACGTTCTATGGTGCCGTTCTGGGTCCCATAAGGACATAGTGTTGACTTCTGTAACCGACCTTTGTCCCTCTGATAGAGATGAAAGCGGGCTTTGTAAATGTCTTTGCTTTTGGGCAAATGGGCAGAAGGCAGAGTTTTTCCTGTGTCTGCTCCTCTTTAGTTGCCGTTAGCTCAAAATAGCCTTTTTGCCAAGGTGGCCTATGTAGGGATAGTACATTCTGCAGCCCTTCGGCTCCACTAAAGACTCGAGCTCCAGCCTCGGGTGGCCCCGCTCCCTCCACCCTTGGCTTGCCCACGGAGTTCAAGGTGCTTCTCTGCTCCCGGGACAACTTGAGGCCCTCAGCCCTGAGTGGGTGTTCATGGGCATGCAAGGTCTTTGTGGGTAGCATCTGCCTTGCTTTCCCAGGGATGGACCCCAGAGACACAGCTTCCTGCTCACTTCTTGGGGATTAGCTGCAGGTTCTGCCAGAACCTCTCCGCCTTGGGCACCACAGTCACAGTGGGAAGCTCTTCTGTACCAGCTTTGGCTCATAGTCTAATGCCCAGGGATGCAGTTCCTTCTGCGGCCATCTCTTTCTTCTTCCACATGCCCTGGGAAGGCAGGGAGGTAGCACTGTTTCCAGCTCTTTCCTCCCTGATAGCAGAGTGACTTTAACTATTCTCCCTCATTGATCCACTCCTTACAGCGTGCAGCAGCCACCCTAGGCGATCAGAAATGGCCGTGACCTCAGAGACATCTTTGCACATCTTCCACAACTCTTGACGCCTCCCATCTACAGCACTGAGGACTGGTTTCTGAGGCCAGAGAGGTGGACTCTGGTTATAAAGGCCTGTGTGGCATCCCCACCCAGCCATCCCAGTCCTGGAGGAGTGGTACTAGATTCTAGGGGTGGCAAACCAGAAGTGGCCAGCCTTGCCCACCCACAACTTATGAGAGAGCTGAGGCATTATGTCGCTTGCTGGGCTAGATTTTTTTTTTCTTCCTTATGTCACGGGGAATAATGATTTTGGCCCTTGTGACTTCAAAGCGTGTTTTAGGGCTCAGATGAGCTGAAAGCTGTGCAGAGTGCCCATGAGTCCCACAGTGGCAAGTAGCCTGAGCTCTAGCCGTACCTTTATGTGGACTTCTGTTGGACCATATCGTATCAATGTGGGTAAGGGTCTTTGGTACAGATTGCTTTGTAGTTCCAGGGAATATTGATGATCGGTAGGGAGCTGAGGAGGAAGTGAAAAGCCAAGACAGAGAGGTCAGAACTCCCTTGGGACTGCTTCTGGCACTGGTTAGCTAGAATGC